GCACTTGCAGGACAAGCAGGCAATCAGGCCCAGTCAGCATGGGTTTATGAAAGGCAGGTCCTGCTTGACGAACCTGATCTCCTTCTATGACAAAGTGATGCGCTTGGTGGATGAGGGAAAGGCTGTGGATGTGGTCTACCTTGACTTCAGCAAGGCTTTTGACACCGTTTCCCACAGCATTCTCCTCAAGAAACTGGCTGCTCTTGGCTTGGACTGGCGTATGCTTTGTTGAGTTAGAAACTGGCTGGATAGCCGGGCCCAAAGAGTCGTGGTGAATGGAGTCAAATCCAGTTGGAGGCCGGTCACTAGTGGCATTCCCCAGGGCTCGGTGCTGGGGCCGGTCCTCTTTAATATCTTCATTGATGATCTGGATGAAGGCATTGAGTGCACCCTCAGTAAGTTCGCAGATGACACCAAGTTAGGTGCGTGTGTCGATCTGCTCAAGGGTAGGAAGGCTCTGCAGGAGGATCTGGATAGGCTGCACCGATGGGCTGAGGTCAACTGCATGACGTTCAACAAGGCCAAGTGCCGGGTCCTGCACCTGGGGTGCAATAACCCCAAGCAGAGCTACAGACTGGGAGAGGAATGGTTGGAAAGCTGCCTGGCAGAGAAGGACCTGGGAGTATTGGTTGATAGTGGGCTGAATATGAGCCAGCAGTGTGCTCAGGTGGCCGAGAAAGCCAACGGCATCCTGGCTTGTATAAGAAGCAGCGTGGCCAGCAGGGCTAGGGAAGTGATTGTCCCCCTGTACTTGTCTCTGGTGAGGCCGCACCTCGAGTACTGTGTTCAGTTTTGGGCCCCTCTCTACAAGAAGGACATCGAAGTGCTTGAGTGAGTCCAGAGAAGGGCAATGAAGCTGGTGAGGGGTCTGGAGAACAAGTCCCACGAGGAGCGGCTGAGGGAGCCGCTTGTTCCTCCCGGAGAAGAGGAGGCTCGGGGCGACCTTATTGCTCTCTACAGGTACCTTAAAGGCGGCTGTAGCGAGGTGGGGGTTGGTCTGTTCTCCCACGTGCCTGGTGACAGGACGAGGGGGAATGGGCTAAAGTTGCCCCAGGGGAGTTTTAGGTTGGATCTTAGGAAGAACTTCTTTACCAAAAGGGTTGTTAGACATTGGAACAGGCTGCTCAGGGAAGTGGTGGAGTCACCATCCCTGGGTGTCTTTAAAAGACATTTAGATGTAGAGCTCAGTGATATGGTTTAGTGGAGGACTGGTTAGTGTTAGGTCAGAGGTTGGACTCGATGATCTTGGAGGTCTCTTCCAACCTAGATAGTTCTGTGCTTCTGTTGCAGTCTCCCAGCTCAGAGCCAGCCACCTATTAGTCTGGCGCAACGGATTTGTGTGTTCCTTGCACTAGCTGTTCCTTCACCTCCTCTTCACGTACAAGGACACGCATCTCTTTCACGCTCCTTCAGGAGTAAACAAGCCAGGAGAGATTAAAGCCTCTTTCTTCAGGTCAGTTATATCCCTGCCTTTGGTTTCAGTGAGAATTCAGGCCCTAAAAACTCAAGTGTCTTCTGGACGGTGTTTCTTCTGGTAGGATGATTTCATTTCTCTTTTGAAGGCTTACGGGGATGTAGTAGCAAAAGCAAAGGCATAAAACGGTACCTGAGGCACAGGCTACTTTTCAGCCTGCAGCAGACTACAGGTATGATATCATCCTTTGATATCATACCTATATCATATATCATGTTACCATATCAAGAAACGTAGAAAACTGCCTGTTGCTTCTCGGGTTTAAAGTTTTCCCTTAAAAGGTGTATGCAAAGGTGTAATCAGCTGTCTGAGTACAATTCTCACGTATACATGAGCATTTTCCTCTCCCCTTCCCAACTTGGAGTGCAACACTTTTCATCATACTGTTATAAATTCCGAGTCAACTTAGCTTTATGAGATTTATTTATGGGGTTAATAAAAAAGGCAAGTAAAGAGCGCTGGGTGCGCGGGGAGTCTGGGCTCCTCCAACACGCACACACGTTACATCAGGCGGCAGCTTTTTCTGCTCCTAGGCTAATACATGTTCATTACTACTTCTAGAAAAGGCAGTGTTATTATAATTAGTTCCTGGATTCTGAACCCTCCCACTGGCACATGCATATCAGTCCCCGGTGGTCCCTCTGGGGGTCTCTCGTGCTGAAGGCTCATAGTCTTCCTCCCAGGCTTTGTCCTTCTCCTTCTCCTTTGTCCATCTTGGCTAGATATCAGGCTTGCCTCTAACTCTATACAAAAAAGAGAGAGAAGCACACCTTTCTACTCTGTCAGCTACTGGCAGACCTAGAGAGAAAAAAAAAAAAAACAGTTGTTAATTAAAAAGTAATGTTGTTTTAAGGCATTTCACCAAATATGTTAATATTTGGTAGAAACCAGACAACAAATGAAAGGGAAGAAGAAACAGTAGAAGGTACTTGCATGACCTTAATTTACACGGCAATGGACAACAACGACAACCTGCAATGATTCAGAAGTGCCTTACACTATTCACCCTTGAGACAGAAAACTGGGATTCCCATATGATGTAAGGGGAGTGCAATCCCTCTCAAAATACAAGAGCCTGGGGGACGCTACTGAGTACTGAAAATGTTAAGGGTAGGCAGCACCGAACTCAACAGAGAAGGGAGGCCGAGTCTCCCTGGCTGTTCACGTAACAGACAAGAGCCTCAGCTTTTAGCCCTAAGCAATGATTCGTAGTGCCAGGCGGGGAACTAGTTCTTCTTAAGCCAGGGATCGTTTCAGCATCTTTAAAGCTACAGAAAGGCTTGAAGGCTCTGTGGAATCATGTTCCTGGCGCAAAAATCTGGGGACCAGGACTGGGCAAGTGGGGCACAAGTGTGCTGGGGAGCAAGCTCTCAGGGCTGATTACCAGGGCTTTAAACCAGGTTTGATGGGGGAAGGGAGGGGAGCTAAAGGTGACAGAGAAGGGCTGGGGGAAGTCCTCACTACTGTTATAAATGGCTCAGTCTTCAAAATAGGACTATAATCAAAGTTTACAATTTATTAAAGGAATAGAGGTAAGCAAACTGCGCTGGGTGCGCCGGGAATCTCTGCTCCACCAAGATGCACACCAGTTACATCAAGCAGCTGATTTTTATGCTCCTAGGCTAACACATATTCATTACTGCTTCTAAAAAAAAAACCACAGGGTTATTATAATTAGTTTCCGGAATCCAAACCCTCCTACTGGAGCATGCGTAACAGTCTCCGGTGGTCCCTCTGGGGGTCTCTCATGCTGAAGGCTCATAGTCTTCCTCCCTCTGGTCCTTCTCCTTTGTCCAGCTCGGCTGTAAGAGACTTGTGCAGCATCCCCTGCAAGCTTTGTCTTTTAGTAGTTCTTCAGCTTTCCCTGTCTCCTTAGTCTCCTGGCCAGATACCAGAGACTTGCATAGTGTCCCATGCAATAGTCATAATAGTTAGCAGCTATTCTGAACCCCCCCAGATATCAGAGACTTCAAGTAAAAGCCTACAAATACATTTCCCTTCAAGCTCTCTATTGACATGAATTGCTAAACCATTCCTTTGCAAGGTACAAGAACTACATACATGTACACTAACCACTCTGTTTTTCTTAGACTTGTGCTTATAGAAGGGACTGTAGGACAGAAGGTCACATTCATCATACCATGCAGCCCTAGCATTGTTCCATATTGACACGAATCAGATGAACACATTTCACACTACTGTCACTGTTGAAGACAGGGGAAAAACTTCTGAGCTCTCCCATAGGATTGTCTGGCTGACTGGCTGAGCTCAGAGGGTGGTGATTGGCAGTGCCGAGTCCGACTGGAGTCCCGTGACTAGCGGTGTTCACTAGGGGTCGGTGCTGGGTCCAGTCTTGTTCAATATCTTCATTGACAACCTTGATAAGGGAATAGTGTCTGCCCTCAGCAAGTACACTGATGATACAAAGCTGGGAGGAGTGGCTGACACTCCAGAAGGCTGTGCTGCCATTCAGCGAGACCTGGACAGGCTGGAGAGCAGGGCAGGAAGACATCAAATGAGGTTTAACAACAGCAAGTGACGAGTCCTGCACCTTGGAAGGAACAACCACATGTATCAGTACAGGCTGGGGGACGACCTGCTGGAGAGGAGCTCTGAGGAGAAGGACCTGGGGGTCCTGGCAGACGACATGTTGACCATGAGCCAGCAGTGTGCCCTGATGGCCAAGAGGGCCAATGGGATCTGGGCGTGCATTAAAAGGAGCGTGGCCAGCAGGTCAAGGGAGGTGATCTTCCCCCTCTTCTCTGCCCTGGTCTGGGACTCCAGTCACCTGGAGTACTGTGTCTAGTTTGGGCTCCCTGGTACAAAAAAGACAGGGATCTTCTGGAGAAAGTCCAGCAGAGGGCCACAAACATGATACGGGGCCTGGAGGAAAGGCTGAGAGACCTGGACCTGTTGAGCCTTAAGAAGACTGAGAAGGGAATTCATCAATGTGTATAAATACCTGAGGGGTGGAAGACAGAGGGATTTGGCCAACCTCTTTTCAGTGGTTTGTGGGGACAGGACAAGAGGCAATGGCCACAAAATGGAGGACAGGAAATTCCGCACTGACGTGCAAAAGAACTTCTTCATGGTGAGGGTGACAGAGCGGTGGGACAGGCTACCCAGGGAGGTTCTGGAGTCTCCTTTTCTAGAGATATTCAAGGCCCATCTGGACGCCTACCTGGGCAGCCTGCTCTGAGGAACCTGCTTTGGCAGGGGGGTTGGACCCGACGATCTCTTGAGGTCCCTTCCAACCCCTACAATTCTGTGATTCTGTGAAGTGCTTACAAAGTGAATGCAAACCTGTTTGCATTTTTTTTCCCCAAAGACCAGTATCTTTAAACTGTGAATCATACCAGGTATAAGCATTCTTCACTGCAGAGGGAATAGCTGCTTTTACTTAATGTCATAGAAGTCAACTCTTTCATTTACTTTGTAATTCTAAGAAGAAAAGTTAATAAAATAAGAAAACCCTAATAAAAAACAAACACAGGGATAAAATATTTTAAAAATAATAATTGGAAAAGTACATGTGTGTGTTTCTGCTTACAGCTAGCTATTAATCAAATAATTTGATTCTTTGGCTTTTAAATTGATTCACAACTGTGGTGCCTACACAGTATAGCGAGAACACAATGTTATTTGGGTGGTTATACAGACTCCGACAATATTATTAAATGCTTTCACTAGATATACCATGAACTCACTGCAACTACATCACCTGCTGGCAGGGACTAGTACCCGTGAGCTCTCTCTGATTTCCCATTCTGCTGGGAAAGGAATCTTTTTTCCTGACTCATGCTGTGTAAACAGGTGCCATCAAATAAAAAGGCATATGGCATCAACGTGACAGCACCATCTCGCAAGAAGGGCTTCCTGTGGCTGGTGGCACATGTACCATCACTCAGGCTGTCCCTCTGAATGTGCTGAGAGAGAGCAAATAACGAGACCTGAGCATCCCTGTCAGAGGGAGTGTGAGGATGAGACCAGGAAACAAACAGTCTGCTTTGAGGTGCAGCCACTGGGAGTCAAATAATTACCCCTGAGAAATGAGCTTATGTTTTGAAAGCAGCTGAATGACACGGGGAGACTGTGTCCTCCCATGAATTGTACTATTCAATTTCTCTGCTTAAATGTGAAAAGCAGAGCAGGGACCGGAAGGATGGAATTCATTGAACAAGAAAGGGAAAGGACAGGTTAATACTGAATAGCTGCAGTGCAGTGAGGTTTCCCTTTTTCTTTTCCCACGTTGATGCTCTTATTATCAGATTACGGAATGAAGCCACCATCTGCTCATTACTTTTCTGGCCTTCTCATCTTGCAGTCCCTTTTCTGTAGAGTGTCACCCTTGAATTCTTCATCAGGATGAGTGGAGAACACCTTCAGTTTTATAGAGGGTCTCGTCTTTTGTTTGTGGACATGCTTTAGGAGATGTAGGTTTCAATTCTAGGAAGGTGAAACGACACGCATCTCCCAAGCCTGCACTTCCCCAATGAAGGCTTGAAAGAGCAGACAGCAGCACAGGCTGAATACCAGAGACCAGCTTTTTCAAAGCCCCTACACTCAAGGTCCCAAGTATACAGAGCCTGAGGTAGGGTCAAGGCCCTGGTTTCTGACTTCTAGAAAGGAGCAGGAGTTCATCCATCTCTTCTTGCTTGGTGTCTTTCACAGCTTCTTGCTCAGTGCGTGGGCCTCTTCAATTGCTTGGAAAGCATTTGGTTTTCTGTGCTGGTGGACGAAGCCATGTAGCTAAGTGTAGCAGCCCTGATCACGCTGCTGGAGCCAATCAGCTAGTCCATAAGTGCACGAGGTGGATGGGATCTCTTATCTCTATCCCAATGTAAATCACAATCCTTGCAACTCTAATGGAGCATGGTTATGGAAAGTCTGGCAATTGAAAACAAACAAAAAGAAAAAAAAGAACTCCTAACCTAGTGACTCTATATACCTTAAAAACAAACAAACAAACAAAAAAAAAAACACACACTCAAAACACTGGAGAAACTCATGAACATTATTATGTAAACATACATTGGAAGAAACTGCATGAGCATGCTTTATGTAGAGCTCTCTTTGGAGACTTATCATATGTGTTTATATGCATTTCTGAGATACCTCAGGGCATGTCTGCTGCACAGTGCAGTGGAGATGCACAAGCTAAAGGTAACTCTAAATGAACTAAATCTGGTACCAGAAACCATACAGCCACTCTAAGGGTAAATCTGCTCTGTTATACCTTGTTTCATCAGGTTAACACAGCTCTGTGGATGGGCTAACATGATCACATTGCTTCTGCTATCTGAATTAACTCATGTCAATTATCTTTGTGTATATCAACATTGAATGCTTCTGTCTTCTTCTTCTTCTTTTTTTTTTCTTTTTTCTTTTTTCTTTTTATATATATGCCCCAAATGATATCTTAGACCTTAGAATAAAATAACATTCAATTCACACAAAATTAAATCAGCTTGAGAAGTTGTACCTTCAGATAAGGCAAATTTAAAATATAGATTTCTACATACTGAAAATACAGAAACCAGTGGCAATTCAACTGAGACTAATAGCAATTAAACTAAACATAATTATATCTTTGAAACTTGCACAAAGGGAGGAAGGATAATGTGCCCAACACATTCATATTCAGCAGCTTAATGTTGTGCATGAATACGCCATTAGTAAGCCATAGGAAAAACAGTCAAGTTGTTTTCCCTTAGCAGTTTTTGTTACTGTGCTTGAAATAATACAAGTTAAAAATCATCTGCATGCTACATTCCCTGGACTGGCTCCTCACCTGGTGTGAGCAGTCACAGCTCCATCAGCTCCTATTTTTCTACAAGCAAAGAACAGAGGTTTGCATGTAGATGCTCACTGAAAGTATCCAATACTACTGGAAAAGCAAATGTAGCAGCCCCAATACCTCACCCAGTAGCTGATTCTTAGTACAAACACCATTTGCAGTTAACACTGCTTCATTAATTAATCATAGAATAATAAATTGGATACTGGTTTCCCTACCTGCTTTATTTGGAATAAGACATCTACACACAAGCAGCTCCCATTAAAGCTAATCAGTGTGACCTTTTAGCATGCTGTAGAATTACAATTTTGTGCAAGGCTCAGATGGTAACTCCAGGCAGCTGCCACAGTGCACCAGCTGTAGGATGTTACTCCACACCTCAGTGACACAAGAAATACACCCACTTAGGTTTCAGTACAAGGTCAGATAAGTTAGCTGGGCCTAGCCATCCAAAGAGGTCTCAGAAAATGAACCGGGATTTGTTCTGAAGCAGAGCAGGATACGGCCATGCAATACCTTCTGCTACCAACTTTTTGTGGCAGCAGCAATGCCTGCTACAGGATGTTAAGAATCAATAGGTAGGATAGAGAGAGAAAGAAAGAAGGAAACTCTAACATCACATATACAAACCTGTTTCAGAGAGATCTGACTAATGCTGTCACCATTACTTTTTAATAAGTGCTGGAAGATCAGGGATTTACAATAGTAATTGAATAATATACCTCATTTTAGTACCACGAGTGATATTCACAAGGCTCCACCACAAATTTTATTTTGTCCATGGAGGCACCAGCAGACTCCCAGCTTGGTTTGAAGGCTCATCAAGCAGAGCTATCCCCAGGGGCTCAGTGAGTAGGGATGAGCAGACTGAGAACTTACGCACAGTTTTCTGCCACGTGAAAAACACATCACACTTATTTTCTATTATTTTTAATGTCAGTTTCTCAGCTGTTTCTCACAGTAGAAAAAATGTACCCAGCTCCTGTTTAAAGCAGGGTCCTAGTCTGTATGCTAGGATTTCCTTTCCTTTAATTTTGTGACAATGGTGTCTTGTAACAGATTTTTGGGATTGTAAACAATGCCTATCCCTTCAGGCACCTCCTACTCTTAAATTAATATATACACAAACATTCAGAAAATGGACAAGCAGGAAATGCAAATTTGCCTTTATTTATTTATTTAACTGTCAGGTTTTGGTCATCTGTGTTGCTAATGTTTGTCTGTTTGCTTGTTTTTTAAAGTCATTCCTACTAAGTGGTGGGGACTGAAGGCAGAGGCAGTACTGTAGGCACAGCTCACCCTGCTCTGTGTCACCTGGTGTTTTCATGTCCTTATTTCACCTCATACCTACGTACCTCAGAGGAACACTGGGGCTTTTCCACAGCGATGGGAGTTCACCAAACCAAGGTGGCACACTACAGCCAACTCCTGAAGTTAGAATAAATCTGCATGAAATGTTGAGGCGCTACCATCAATTCAGCTGTGCAATCATTTGGCAGCTTTAGCTTATTTAGCAACTAAAATCAATTTTTAGCAACTAAAACCCTTTCAATTATGTTTTTATTCCTTTTTTTTTTTTTTTTTTTTTTTAATGAAAAAACTCCTCTAAGAAAAAAGAAAATCTCCATTGCTCTCCAGAGCTGTGGCAGCAGAGGCCCTCAGTGGGGCCACCACGCATGGTGCCAGGTGATGGCTTTGTGCGAAGAAACTGCAGCAGGGTGTGAGGAGTGCACATTTCTTCTGCCCTGCCTGCCTCGATCAGGTGACCATGTTGTGGGATGGGTTGGGTGGTGGCTGGGGGGCTCTGTCTGCATTCTTTGATAAGCATACAAAGTTTTTTTGTGAATTTGATAAGCTTCTCCTACTTAACTCTTGATATATACTTATACCCAAATTTTATTCTTTGAACAAAACATGACTGTAAAGATATCAGAAACAAAAATACTCTATTCATATCATAAATTCAAGCTACATTTTATCCTGTGTTAAGGACCAATGTGTTAATTATTGCATGCTTCTAAAAATGTGGCTAGGTGGACAGGCCATTCAACTTGCTTTTTCAAGCTTTTCCCCATAGTTTATCTTTCTAAATAGTTAACCTAAAAGAAAAGGAAATATATATATATATCCCCTCTTCTTTCTTTTGCTTTCCTGTTGCACTTTATCTGATTACTTCATCAGGCAGAAGCAGCCACACAAGCCTTTAACTAAAGGATAAGTTAGTACAATGGTTTCTCAGCTGCTGAATTGGCATTTGGGTGTTGTGCTCATCTTTCACCCCCTCAGCAATGGAGAGGGAGAGATGCTGTCTGAGTGCTCACAAAGAATCTCATGTGAGACTGAAGCATAAATACTTCAGCGCAGATGGTATCATCATAATGTACTGGGAAGGACCTGGCCGTATACAGTTTACCTTATGCTTAATAGACCTGAAACATTAAAAACATGTACTAATTAATTCTTCTGAATTTCTTCATTGTGTTGATAAACCTTTTGGTTCTAATGCCATCACAGAACATCCAGCACTTGGCAGGATAGTGAGCGCCCCTTGGAACTCAGGGATCTAGGGGCTTATTCAGCTATGGGAATTCATCTCAACAGAGATTAAAAAGTTTAGAAGGTTGTTTGAAAATATCATATCTTCTGAGTTTAAACACAGTAACAATGCTGGGAAGAACCCTTGCAGAATTTCACAGAGAACTTTATTATAAACAGAACAGTTATCTAATCAAAAAATAAAATAAAAAATTATAGTAACAAGAAAAGTAGCAATGAAATTCTAAGCTTAGGCATCTTTGTATTAAAATATTTAATTCCTTTGTAACAGCTAACTAGTGTTGTAGTATGTATTAGGATTTGTGCAAAATGTGATACAAACTTTCTTTAATACTTTAATAATAGTAAAGAGCATCTCTTCACTATGTGAAATCAACATTAGTGTTCAGGGTGGCAATGATCCAAGGGAGATCAAAATAAAGGAGGATGCTCAAAAACAGAAACAAAACCAAACAAACAAAAACCAAGAACAACAACAAAACCCAAAGTCAAAACCCCAAACCCAACAAACAAGTAGATATTACAGCAAAACATAGACCTTGAAAGAAGACAGTCAGAAAGGCTTTAACAGTTAAGCAGCAAGTATAGAGGGAACTGACTTCATTGGAAAGCAGCAACATTATGGACAATGCGTCTGTGGGCATTCTTAGTATCAGAATGTGTGGCCCACTTCAAAACATTAATGAACATTTTCCAGACTGTCTTTTTTCTTCCTATATCAAAACTTATTCAGGTGGTATGTAATGAACAGACAGCACTTTAATCTAGAAAAGAAGATATTTCAGTCAATAAGTAGAGTTGCTGTAAATAAATAAATACAAGGACTTTGTAATGGCAGTGACAGTACATATGTAAGTCGGTATGATTTTAAATAAAATTTAGTGGACTTGGCATGTTTAAAAATATATATTATTTAAAAACAAAACGAAACACAGTAATTGGCAAAATTGTGCGTTCAAAATAATGAAAATAAATGCCAAAATGTTGATGCTCCTTTGATAGTTTTAGCAGTTGTAGTGTTTTTGCACACTGCGTATTCCATAGCATGATCTCTTGTCCTTACCTAAAGAGAGAGATAAGATCTGTTAACATTTGTTGCCCTTTAAATTACTACGATATATTGTCTAAATTTGTACTTAGAACAGTATTATCCAGAAGAAGACATCATAACAAGCCCCTTTAGAAATATGTTCATCATGTCACAAATTGTTACATATTTTAATTACCTTTTCTTAGCACTACAGCAGACCTTCAAATTAATAGCTATTGCAAACTATAGGCAAGCAGTAGGTGCCTGACTTAATTAACTCTGACTCTGTGTGATGTGATTTGTATCTCAGCATTGCTTGTGCTAAAAATGGGCACTGGCTTTCCTATGGCATATGGCTCTGTTTCTCCAAAGGGCTGTGATATAGCTGCTTTAGGATCTAGAATATTTTATTGGTATTTGATGATTTAGTTTCATTATGGCCTGCAAATTAGAAGACCTGTGAGAACCAGGACAAATATGCAGAACAGGGAGTAACGCAAAACTGAATGCATTGTTGTTTTCATGAAGGCCTTTTACAAATAACAAATTGAAAACATTTTTTAATAGGAATACCAGAATAGATTTGCTGTATGGTCTAAATACATACAGACTGTATGATGACATGGGCAGGATCTTCAGAAGGGCAGAATCCCTTCTCAATGGGATGGGAGAATCCCTTCATAATGGGAACATACTTGATTATTATTTTATTTTTTTTTAATAAATAAGTAAAAACAGAAAATTGAGATTTTGTTTGTTTCAAAATGTGCAGTTGTGAAGGTCCCTTTTTGATCATGGTGAAAAGACTTCTACATTTTCAGGCATAAAATGAGGCACTAAAGCATATGCAAACATGGTAGCTTCTGTAACATTTTGCTGCAGAATATGAAGTCAGGTCCATTCCAGAAAATGTTATGTAGAACAGCTAACTAGCAACATTATATCATTATAAGCAATAAAACTATAAGCAACAGTTATATCAATACCTAGAGTCATGCTATGCTTTAATACCTGATATATATTAATATATATATATGATTTCTCCTAACATGTTAAATTTGAAGGGAGGCAGAAAAGTCATCTTGCAGTTCTTAGCTGTACTTTCTATTTTGAGTTGAGTCCTTACAATCTTTGCAAAGTACAAATGTTCATATCTCCTATGAAAAAGGTTTCCAAATAAGCCTTTGGCAATATTTCTGAACAAAGAGCGGCCACTGTAGAAATAAACTGGCTTTGTGTCTCAAATCTCCATGGGTTTTAAGAGGCAAAATGACTTCAGCAAAGAAAGTAGGTTAAAGCAAGGACAGACAGCCTCCTTGATTAGTGTAACTGAAAATAAGCACACTCACCCTGTTCAATGCACCTAAGATTCAGTAGTTCTAAAAAAAGAGCATAGGTCAAAACAATAAAATTATTCAGCTTTGCAAACACATTTTCCTTAATTCTTACCTGGAGAAGGAGTCCTTCAAACTGTGACTCAGCTTTAAACTGGGTTTACTTTGCAGATGTCTTTTTAAAAATCTTTTTTGATATGATCTTAAAATGTGAAGGTGGTCTCATTTTGAACATTTTGAACCTTTTTGAAGGTGGTCTGGTTTTGTTAGTTTATTTGTTTATTTTTGTTGTTGTTGTTTAAAGCATTTGATCATTGTTAATTTGCTTGTATAGTAATTAATAGGTTAAATAATGTCTTGTTAATCAGTTATTTTTAGAATTTCTTCTTTCAGGCACAGATATTCTAGGAAATTAAATGTATTCCTATTTTTTCCTACTCTTCCCTAAGCGAAAAACGTTCCTATTTCCTACCACACCACTTGTTAGGAATATGGATTTTTCTTCCTTACTTCCTATCTACAGCTATAATAAGATGTTACTTGTTGAAATCCTTTCATGAGTTCCCTAATACATTGTTCCACTGCATCCCAGCTTCAGTTATGAATTACCTTGAGTGTTTCAGTTTTGAAACTGAGGAGTTTTCATAGCTAAAAACATGCTGATAATGCTTCTGTCACTTCTGTGTCATTCTCTACAGTATCACTGTGTATCGCTGTTGGAAACTAAATTCTGAGAACAGAAGTCTCTTCAGAAGTCTTTTGCTTTTCTTGGCTTTTCTCTCTTCTTTTCTAGAGGAAACAGTGCCTCCAAGAGCTCCTATTTAGGGAGGGGCAGTTTAAGACAATTAAGTCAATTATCTTATTCACCGTTGCATTAATCTCTAAAAAAAAGTCTTCTCAGCAGATGTTGGTTTGAAGGACAGGTGAAAGACAGTTTGTTTTCCTTATTTTATGCCCACTAACAAAGTTAGCTAAATGACTGAATTCTTCCAGTATTTCCCATATGGAGACCTCTGCTGAAGTGAATGTCTTTGCTAGCATCTTGAAGGAATGAAGGACGCGCCGTCTGCTGGGGCTGCAGAACGTTGTTTCTTTATGAGCTTCTTCATTGCCAGGCTGGTTTTGTCATTTGCCAGTTGACATCAGGACAACTGGTGGCAGTCCAGGAGACAGCAGGAAGCAATGGTTGTTTGTTTGTTTGTGGATAAGCAGAGAAGAAAGATGGCATGAAGTGATGAAGAACAAAGAGAGAATAATCAAGAAACAGCGTTAGCTACAGCATAGCCATAAAAATATGTGTAACAAGCCTCTTAGCCATTTTTCCTAAAATACATAAACACACACGCAAATAATCATGAATAATCTCTAAATCTCACAGAGACAGAATTAATAACCTGAAGTGATATAATACTTTCGTGTGTTTTTTGTTTGTTTGTTTTTTTTAAAGTATGAAGAGTCATCACAACTTTTTAGAAGTAATACATAAAAGTTGGTGAGCAGCACCACAACTGCTAAAAAGTGAGGAATCATCATCATATTATCTAGTAAATTTATCATCCTCAAGGGTAGCTTTTTAAAAGCATAGTTTTGAAATTACAAAATGATAGTTTTTCAATGAGCCTTTACATTCAAAGAGAACATGAGGGAGAGGGGAAAGTTAAGACAGAGAGGGCATGATAACAGAAAAGGATGCCACTTGGAAAAAAAAAAAAAGAATTCCTTGACTAACCTTCATATTCAGTGCAGTATTTAATTTAATATATTATTAGTACTACAGAGAGCAAGCAGTCATGAATAAAAAGGAAAGAAAATAAAAGGATGGAGAAATCGCCATGGGTAGCTACATACAAAATGCAGGAATCAGCAAAACCAAGCAAAAATGGACAAAGAGATGCATATTGATGGGAAATCTAAGGATTTCCTTTCCTTCTTGATGGAGACTGGATGGTCAACTTCTTGATGGAGAAAGTAGTTGCATGCATTTGTCCCAAGATGCCATTTTACTTTTGTACTGCAAGACAGTGCTCCATATTTAGCACTAGTTTTAGGGGGGGTTGTGGAAAATTAATCACTGGTTTCAGTCTGCAAGCTAGTTTTGTAAGTGTAGTTAATTATAATCAAAAGCTACCAGTGGATTACTCACCACATACAGCCAGGACAATTTCAACTACAGATCTTCCTGGAAATGATGATACTCAGTCCAATCTGATGGCTGGATAGTATATCGTATTATCTAAGGAAAAGTAGAAATTGTTATGGTTCATTAAAAGGTGCTAAAAAGGTGCATGATAGTTATGCTACAGTTTTTTGAGTGAAAGGAACATTTTTTGCGTGAAAGTCTTCAGAGCAGAGAAATTTCCCACTATTTGTTTTGTTGTGCTTCAGAAAATGAGGATTTCTCAATAAATTAAACACTACTGAAGAACTACTTGACTGACATCAACAGCTAAATTTCTTTCCCTGATGGTAATGATCCTCCAGTTCCACACGTTGACTTGTTGTCCTCGGAAGATCACTTCAAATGCATATAAACACATAAAAAGAGCAAAAAATATATTCTTATCAGTGAACTCCATGCCCATGACAAGTAATTCAAAATAATTTCAAATGAGGGGTAACAGCATCTGCCTTGCATAGCAGCTCCCTTATGTGGTAGTGACAAATTCACAAAATGGAAAGGAAGAGCTCCCTCCCCAGTCCTCTGTACCACAGTCACTAACATGGGCTTTGCAGTGTGGTGTAGTCTGGAAATTTGTTCCTTTTAGCACTAACCCCTTTAAACATGAAACTTGACCAAGTGTGTAAAGTATGCTATCTGGTTTTCTGGTAGAGCAAATAGTTGTGCTCATCTTTAAATTTCTTGACCTTGACAATAGTAGTCAACATTTACCGTCTTGAATTGGTTTCACCAAAATGTGATCCCACACAGCAAGTCACTTGCTGCAAAAATTTGTGAGCATCTCTCTAGTATTACTCCTTCTTGAAACTAAAGTATTCCATTTTTTTATTTTTTATTTGAGGGGAAGAGGTCTTTGTATCTTTTCCTTTTCCTTCTGTTAGGAATAATTATAAATAATTTCCCTGTCTCTAGAAATAATTTCTCCTGGTCAACTGCAAAAAGCAGACATTGCTCTTGATTTTATTTCTATGTGACAGTAAACTTGCCAAAGACAAAATGATGTGGAAGAAAAGGAGATAATGGCTGGGTTTGTAACTGCTATGGAATGAATATTACAAAATATGGGAGAAAGATGACCTCTGCTTAGAAGACTGCCTTCTCATTAACAGATGGCTGTAGTTCAATGATTCCACTGTGGTGTAAAGAAGGAATCAAATTAGATGTGTGAAACTGTCATTGCACTCTGTTTCTCTGCATAGTTCCAGCTTAAAGCATGTTGTTCCTTTTATACAGTCCCTCAGATTGCTGCGTCTCATCCTTTCCACATCAAAGTACTGTCAGCACTTTTATAGTATAAAAAGGATGTAGAGATAATGTTACATTACATTCTCTTCAAACAGCAATGATTTGTACACTTGCAGCATTTCTTTTTTCTGGGAGTTGTAAAAGAAGATGCATTAAGATGAGCAGCATCTAAAAACTGAACAACACCAGAAATATCTATTTAAATCTAGACCAAAGCAGCTCTGGAGGGATGGTGGAGATTTCAGAAAGTCAGTTCTTCTCAGGTGCTATCTGAATTATATTTCAGTCTTCCTAGACACTCGTTAAGCAGCTATGCATAAATGATCTGCAAATGTTTCACATTGCATTTACTAGCCATGTTTGTTTGCCATCATCTATGTAAGAGGCTGTCACAAAGGGATAAGGCTTGATCAGCATGTGGAATCTGAATTTTTCTTTCACAAAGAAATTATATAATTTATTTTTTATCTCAAATTTCAAAGATTTCAGATATTTTCACAATAGGAAATAGAGTGACAAATCAAATTCTCAAAATGTTGCATTTCATTTTCAAGGTTATACAATATTTCAGACATTTTTTCAAATTAAAAATGCAAATCATTGCTGTGAAAGAAGGTGAACACATTCTTATAGAAACAAAGTTCAACAAGACAGAAAAATGACTATTTGGATAACAGTTTTTTGATCTCAATGGAAAAAAAATGAAATCATGGGTATAAATGTCTAGGTCTACATGTATATATAGTATGTCTGTCAGATCCATCTCTGTCTAAATACTGTCCACTTTTTTCTCATAATTATAGAAAATTTGTGCTCACAACTAATTCTTCCTTCCTCAGTTATCTTTCTTTCCCTTACCTCATTAGCATAGGACTGTCCATCATAGGCCTTTGGCTCCGAATGAACGCAAGGGAGGAACACTCAACCAGTAATATTTCATCTCACACAGAGGTCACACCCAATCTTGGCTGCATCAGCATGAACTGGAGAAACGCAGCTGAGGTCAGTGGGCTTACTTGGGTCTGAATTCAATCGTTACTCTGGTGCAAGTGCGATGGAGGCCAGCCCATAGGCCCGGTCCTAGCACTGACATGCAAAAGGCAGCCGTGGGGGACCTCCGTTGCTGGCCGGCCATCTCGGAGGCCGCCTGGCACACATGGTTCTCCTTGGCATGGCCATGCAGAATGAGTGTGCAACAAGGCCATGGCGTGCTGGGTACTGCGCCGTGTGTTGCTACATGGCCAGGGCATTTGGCAGAGGTCAATATTGTTACGCAGTCCTGCAAGAAATTGAACAAAATGCAACTTAAATACACCTCTCCCAGCTCCCATCATTATGCCTCTGATAACCACACGGGCAGCTGGCACCCTGTTGGGGTAATCTCTGAGTCTGGTAGGAGTGCTCTCAAGTATTGCCAAGTCCCTTCGATAATCATTATGATACTTTTTGTATCTTTCATGTTTCTGGAATGGCTGTTGAGCCTTTTTGTTCCGTTTCAGTCCCTGGCATCTGTGGGCACTGGCACTGAAGCTGACCCAGTGGGATGCCTGGAAGGCAGTGCTGTGCCAGGTTAAGGAAGGGCCACGTCAGTTCAGATAAACTGAAGCTTCCCGGCACCCACCCTGGCACAGCCACCTTATCAGGGCAGGCTATGGACACACGCTGCAGCCCCCTTTCTGTCTTCCTCTGTCTTACCTCCTACTGCCAACAGGAAATTACGAACAAAGTAATATACTGCAGCAGTGTAAAAATTACACTTCCCACCTTGTGTGTTGTTACATCACTTTTTACACAGATAATTTAACCCAAAGTTTCCCATACTTCCTATTAGTGGAAGTTCCCTCAATCGTTCTCATAAGGGTACCCTGTTAGCAGAACAGCACAGTATGCACCACCTTTAATAAAAGGCATAGCTTCTTACGAGTCTCCTCTCTTTTGCCATATGTATATTATTTCAGATAATGACTACCACTCTAAGACAAAATGGCACTGAAATAGATTTTTATCCTTGGTGCTCTGCTAGTGATTTTTCCTCTCCAGTAGCTGATGTAAGTAAATGTAAAGAGCAGAAGTATTGATTAGATGGCTAATCCTGAAGGCAAAGAGTGACATCAAATTTAACAAGCCAACTATTCCTCCATTTCTTTTTGCTCCATGTTTTTTTTTACAACTATTTCTCCACTTACTGTGCTAAAGTTGGCAAATCTCTGAAAAAAAATAAGTAAATACATAAAACCAAGATAAACTCATTGATCTATGAGAAGCAGAGGATAAAGACTTGTTCAGATTGATCAACAATAAATATTAAGAATTGGTTGATTTTTTGAGGTTTGCTTTTTTTTATTTAAAAAAAAATAAATTATTATTTATTTATTCAAATGATCAAAATACCAACTCAACTTTGCTGTATATTGGAAGCAACTTAGCTCGTTCATTGAAAAAGGGGGAATTCCATCATGGACAGTATTTTCTTCACTGCACTTGACACTTTTTTTGGAAAAATCTCTCAAGTAGGACAACTTTCCTATTCCTCATTTAGCTCCCCACTACAAATGCCATATGACATTACAAGCTGTTTTCATGCCTGCCATATCAACATGCTGCTGCTATAACTGAGGGTGGTCATTTTCTTCATCTGTAATGCCTCTAGTCAACTTGAGCATATATCTGTTATACATGTTCTGCCTACTAGTTATGTAAAAATACTAAACATAAATTCTAAAGAGAAAGCTGCCACTTCATTTATTATCACCTCTTCATTAAGCTCTTCCAGTTAATAGATTTAATATAAATTATAAGGGTACCAAATTAAAGCCAATTTTTCAGGCACACCCAGTTTTGGTTAGAATTATGAATCCTTGCTGAATACCCTGCTGGCAAGAATAACAAACAGGATAACAAACAATTGCCTTTGCTCTAGCCCAGGTACCCTGAAATATTCAGAGGAGTTACTAGGTAATGTCTGAAGAGGGATTAGCACCTGTACCTGGCGCAAAAAAAAAAAAAAAAAAAAAAAAACAACAACAACAACAACAACAACAACAAAAAAAACACGTAAGAAGGAAGATCATTACTAGAGCCTCTGAAGAGTGGCTGGGGCTAATAGGTCAAAATGAAGGGAATTTCTTCACATCAATATTACAGACTGAAATTATATGAATTAATGAAAAACATACTGAGGACACTGAAGGTAGTTAGAAACCATTATACTTCTAGTGATGGTGTACAAAAGGCTGCATCACAGCCATGCCCTCAGGGGTTGTTGTCACACTGTGGGCCATATGCTTTCAAGTGTATCAGGAATTAATAAAGCCCTGACTCTGCTTCCCCCCACACACCTCCACAGGTCAGCCAAATCATGGCATGCTCTCTCACAGTGGTGATACTTTGAAAATCAAGTCTAAATACATATTTTTCTAACGGGGCCACATAATAACTATCAACACATATCAAGGCAGTTTACATAGCAGCTTTGAGATACAAATATCCTAGCAGTTTCCACAAATCAGTGCACAATGAGTGAAAAATGTCGGAAAACTGCAGAGAACATCCTTCTCAAAATAGCATTAACTGTGACCAGTGAGCTAATCAGGCATGCAAGTGGAATTCCAGATTTATGTATGGGTACACACTAAGTAATTTTAGGGCTACTTTGATCTAACTAACCTCCTTTCCACAGAACTTTACTCCATCCATCACCTACCAGATCTATAGCATTTATTTTCTCTTGCTAGGCACAAATCTGAGATGGTCCTGGTACATGTCAGTCAAACTTCTTAGAATATTGTAAATCATCCTTTCAAGCTGCCTGTATTAACTGTACACAAAACTAAGGAAATGTTCATATTTTGGACTTCCCACATAGCGTCTGTGTTTTCTAGACCTGACCTGGCTAGCTTCAGCAAAGATACTATCACCATCAAGTGATATGCAGATCAGTTATTTATCTGAGGGCTGTTGTAGTGGTTAGAAGCAATACAACAAAGACTGCATTTATGGTTTTATCTCTCCCAAGCTGCTCAGTCACTTCACTTTCTGCAGATTTCTATAAGGAATGGGGCCAGAAGGCCTTCATGGAACAGTGCCTTTGGGGAGCAATGTTGTCTCGTGACAGCCAGCAAAGCTGAGCTGGCAGTGGGGACCACTTTGATGCTCATTATATATTTGATATTACTCAAGTGAAATTACTTAGAATATTGTATAGTGCTGGTGTGTTGGAGCAGGAGGGCATTGTTGTTGCCAAATTCTGCACTTGTACTTACAGAAATAAAAACTGTAATAGGATATCTACATATTACTTTCTTCTGTTACTATGGTGCTTAGGCTTAGAAAGTACTATAATAAACATGATGAATAATAATTATTACATATAAAAACAAATAAACAAACCTCTTGCTCGGGTTCACTTGAAATGTCAAGCAATTCTGACTGGAATAGGAAGCATCTGCTGAGAGCAGTGAAGAAGCTGGAGGGTGCCTGCTTTATAGAAATAAAACCAATGAATTAAATAACACCCAGCACTGATATGATAAGTGTGCTTTACTTTAGTTAGTTGCCATGAGAAATCACAGGAAAAAAAAGCTTTCACTAGTTTTTTTTTGAACTGGGGTATGCTCACAGTGCTAAAAGTGTAAATGTATAAAAGCAGTGAATTATTGTAGACTCTTTAATGTTGACCTTCTTTTGATAACTTCAGCTTTGACATAGCCCCTGCTTTTAAATGAGAACACTCGGTTTGTAGTGCTGGCTTAAATTCACTGTCTGGCTAGCAAGCTTCAGCAGGTTTAGTGCCTCTCTACTTTAGACACTAGCATTTGTATGGTTTTTCCTCCCCAAAGAAGTAAATTATTTATACAGCACCAACCTTTTTTAACCTAGCTTCTGACAGGCTGGGATTTTTCCAATCTCAGTTGAAACTGTCTAAATAATTTATCGAGTATTCTTTCAAAGTACAATGAATTCTGAAACCTAAGAAATGTTAAATGAGATTCTTTGCCCTTCCAGTGTGAGTGGGTTACTGAGGTTAAGCTAGTGTTTTCTTTGAACTTCTACCAGTCCCTATTTTCTCCCATTGTAGAGATTCATTTTTTTTCCCTCTCCTACTGTCTATCTATTCATTTTCATGACATTTTCTGTTTATCAGACTTTCCCTTTGTGTTTCTGAATCTCTTGCTAACTTTTCCCTTTCTGATGTCTTCCTATACCTTTTATTTTTAGATACAGTAAAACAGTTTTCCCTTTATATGGTCTTCCAGCTAAAGGAGCCATTGATTTCTGTGTCCCAAAGTGTACAGGCAGTATCAGTCCACTCAATGTCCTTGATGTTGTATTTTTCAGTCCAGTCTCAAATTCAGCTGAACCTCCTCCCAATCCCATAAAGAAACCAGTGATGAACAGACTTCATATCTTTGGTATAGATGAGCATGAGGAAGTCTGCATAGAATGTTAATCTGCAAACAACATGTAAACTTGCAAGGACATATTTTCAGGTCAGATATCCCAACCCCCCCAAATTCTGTCTGGTCAGACTTAACTCAAAGAAAAAAAAATCTATAAAACTTGGATAATTATGTCTCTAAGGACCAACATAAGTTCATTTTTATGAAAGAAACAAAAATAAAAATAACCCCAAATGAGTGGGATTATAAATAGGAAAAAAATAAACAACAAATCCCAAATGACTCAGACTATTCCAAATTTCCAAGCAGGTATTTTAATCCCTTTTAAATTTTATTAAATGCTTCAGGTGACTTCCTTTATCTGAATCAATTCATCTAGTTTTACCCATAAGAACTTGCAGTTTTCTTTATAGAGGAAAAAATACAGAAGTTGGAACAAATTTTTATGTATACTCAACAACTGAGGATTTTATCCTTTATAAATTAATGATATAAAGAACTGTACCTCAACGTGTCTGATGTGGTATCAGTGTTGAATACAGCAGCAGAATTATAGGAAAGCAGCTCTCTTAACTCTGCTGTACTGTAACTGTTTAAATCAAGCAATACTCCTTTAAGTAGGCTATTTAATTTTAGGGCTTTAAAGCAAGTCAGAAATTACTAAAGGGAACAGCCACAGCTATTGAAAGACAGCAAGATCTAGTGGATAACCACTGCTGAGCCATGAAAGCTGATTTTAGCATTGACTAAAATCAACTAAAAGTCGACCTGCATTATTCCCCATGTCAGAGAAAAAATAGTGCCCAGGCATAATCTTGCAGGAAACAGAAAGGGCAGTAGGTATACAGGTAACCCAGTAACTATGAAATGAAATAACCTC